GGGAGTTAGAAAGAGAGGAGACGGGCGTACGGTGGTTAGCCTGTACTGCACCCAGATGCGATCCGAGCGGAAAGCTTCCGAGTCGTGGAATCCCTTCGAAGAGCTAGATTCTAAGGACTTATCAATTCCACACGGGTTACCACTCCCGCTGTGGCTGGGATGGCCCTTACTCGGCACGCTTTCGCCGAGGGTCGAACCTTTGCCCCTAATGGGACCCCAGTGCCGAGTCATCGTCCCCGGGACAGCGTTAACCACCAGACCGTTCGTTCATCCACAAAGGTGCCCCGTTGAAATGACGGGTTTAAGTTCAACTCCAAGAGTTCGACCGGTTCAGAAAAATGTAGCTCGGATCGGAGATTCGAGCCCCTGGCTTGTGGCGCACGGAGGCGACTCTCTACCGGCGCGGCTACGACGCCACAGTGTGAGTGGCCGGGCGAGCCAGGCTCAAGGCACGAGTCAGCGCAGTAGATTGAGCGGGAGAAGAACCGGTTCCATCACGACACCCTCTCACCTCACGTTCCGAGACCGGCCTCCTGGCTCTTTGATATCGCTGCAATGTTTGAACTGTGAATCGGGGGTTCTAATACTCGTCGACAAAGTATTCGTTTTGGGGTTTGAATTTTATCGCACTGTGCGAGAAGCTCGACTAGTCGGCAACTCGCCCTGGGGTTCGAGTCCCACCTGGGATCCGGCCAGCCCGCCTTTTTTCTCCCTCTCTTTCTTTCCCACGCATCTTATATGGTCGGACAAAATTTTCGGTGAACTGTCATTTGACTGAGGTCGGACGAAGGTTGGACAAACGACATAGACCCCCAGCCTGTGATGGGAGGCAAGGGTGAAATCAAAGTCACCCGTTTTTCAAAAGATGGTGTAACTTAAATTTAATGATTCAATAAATAAATGCTTATAAATGTTTGGCAGCAGTGTTGGCGACTTGGGATCACAGCACTCTTCTTAACCTCATGACGGGAAAATACTTAACACACGGGACACACACGTTATATACATATAATAAGTAAATAAATTAATGACGTAATGACAAAAAGAGAGACACAAACACTTTGTACATAGAATATGATTGGCAAAAGACAGCTGGGCAGTATGTGAAAAGAAGCAGATCTTTCACAAGAAAATAATGAAATACAGAACAGAAAACACATCTCAACTCGTCCCCCACGTCTCGCGCCGGACTCGTGTCGGCAACAGTCAGTCGGGCGCGCGGGGTAGGCCACCCGGCAGCGCGCCGTGCGTTGCGGGTCTGTCTATCCGCGGAGCCGCGGGCGCTCGCCGGCCTGGAGGGGGAGGGCGGCCGGGCGGCCTAGGGCACCGTCGACGTTCTGAGGGGCTCGGTGACGCTCCCGCTGTCGTCGCTGTCGTCGGCACTGAAGCGCGACTGGTCGGGCGCCGCGTAGGCGCTGCCGCCGCCGTCGGGGTGCTGGGGGAGCAGGCCGCGCACCTCCTGCTGCCAGGGACTGAGGTGCGTCACGAGCCGGCTCTGGCGGTTCACCACCGTCTGGAAGTCGTCGATCTGCGGGTGCTCCGGCACCCGGTACTCGTCGCGGCCGGCGCGCCGCTCCCGCAGCTCCCGGATGCGCGCCCGGATCTCCTGGCGCGCGGGCCGGTTCAGCACGAAGATGACGAAGGTCCACACGCCCTGCAGGCAGTTGAGCGCGTCCGTCGCGTACCTGGAGGCGAGCCGACGAGTGAGAAAAGCGACGAGCGCCATACTCGAAAGCATTCCGTGACCGAGCGACCTGCTGCTACGTGGACTCACCAGAGGTAGTTCGGGCCTCCGACGTAGAACGACAGGATCTCCATGACCCAGTTGATACCCATGGCTCCGAACATGCACACGCAGCTTCTGAAACTGAACGGGCGCAGGGCCGCCGCGCAACGTGAAAGCCTCTGTCTCCCTTTTGCTGCCTGTTAAATGTATAATCTCGAGCTTTTCCCTTTGGGCTCAGCCCTACCGCCGCGCGCCGTGCCCTGCCGTGCGTACGCCGCCCGCATGCAGACCAAGCCCCTCGACGCCGTGTTGCGCCTCACAGCCCACGCGAGGGGGAGGGAGCGGGCGCGGCGGCGGGCCAAACTCACTCACTCCCGCCCCGCCCCGCT